CTGGGAGAACCCCCGATTGTAGCAAGACTTGCTACACAGACGTTCAGACAGGCTGAAAACAAGCCGACAATTTTTTTAAGGATCTAAACTTTGAAGACCTGAACACGAGCTATATTCATAGATCTTTCCCTCTCTGATAAGCAGCCTCGTCCTGCATAAGAAAAGTTCAAACAAGAGTTAACTTGTTAACAGACAAAAGTTATATTAAATATTAGGAAATTAAATTAGGAAAACTAATTTCTGATTATTCACAGGAAATAATCTGGTTCAACCAAATCTCTGGTTTTACACAAACTTCCTGCAGTTATTGGGTTTTTTCATTTCCTCAGCATCTCTGTAAAACATCTCCTGGTACAGCACCTGTTGACATGTATGCTTGGTACAAGCATTTTCATCTGAAGGTATGTTAAGAAGAACATTTGTACCCTGCATAATACCCATAAATTTGACCACTGAATTAAATATGATGCACTGACTGTACATACGTTAACCACAGCTACCTTCAAAATTGAGGATGTGCCTTTGTCTCAACTTGCATTGACCTGGGCAGTCCATATCATCTCCAAAGTGGATCACTTGATTGGCTTTGACTCATGACATCAGTTCCTGAAGCTAACTTACCTAATGCTCTGTGCCGTACCTGTACAGTCTTGAGTGTGCGGTCAGCATACAAAACTCCAGCAGTTATGTCCACCAATGCTCCATCTCCCACAGCCAGGTTGACATGAGGGATGTGCTGGTTGAAGTTGTCAGAGGTCAGGACCACCATAGGAACCTTGTTCCTCTGCAGGGTGTTCTTAAACAGCTGGTAACTCTGACTGTTCTCTGGTCCCATCACCAGGAGTCCTGTTTGTCTGAGAGGGGAGATCAGTGGAGATGAAGGTACATGGCTAAACATGGCAACAAAAAATCTGACTGATTGTAAATAAAGGTCAAGGTCCCCCAGGTCAAACATATTTGCAACATAAAACAAAGGTGAATAAACCAAAATATCCATTGTAAATATCCATCATAGTTTACAGACAACTCCTTTTGCTTTATCTTCTGTACTTACCATAGATATCAGCGCTCACTGTCTTCTTGATTAATATTTTATTAATTAAAATATCTCTATACTTGTTAGATTGCCATGCAATTTGTTTCAGACATTTTTTCCTACAATTTGGTGATCCCCTTACTTTATCTCCTGCCATCATCAGGTCAAACTCCACTAGCATGGCTGTAGACTCTTAGTCTCTTTGTAACCGTGTTGTTTAGGTACGACAACTTGTTGGACCTGTCGGGGGATGCCAAAACAGAATTGGCAATAACAAACAACCTATTTTTCTGTTTAGGTAGGCCGATGACGAGTTGTTGTAAGATGCCAATTGCCATTTTATCCCAAGTGTAAATACTATAAAATCCTAGTTTATATTTCTCATGCCAATGATATAGCACCAGTCATATCAATCATTCAAAGATTTGTTCAGACATGCTTCCACTCGAGGTACACCGCAGCAAGATTATTCTGACAAATTTGAACTTCTCAACCCAGGAACTTGTAACCTGATGCCAGTAAACTGAACTCATGTGCATCAGCCCAGCTGCTCTGTGATGCTTTCACATCAAAAGACACTCAAAGGGATGAGAGGGAAAATGATCTAAGTACATGCAGTATATTAGGCCAGAGCACCCACTCAGTGCTGTTTAAAATACACTTGGATTTCACTCTGTAGTTTTGCTTTTTTTTTTTTTATAGGTTTGTTTCAAACTGACCACGTTTTTATAAATAGCTTCCAATCTATCCTTTAGTGCTGACCAGAACATCCAAATGTATACTGATGAAGGATGTGACTTAAAACACTTCAGAACACAATATTGCTGGGGATTGGCAATAACCTTTTGTGTGAACTTACATTGTGAATTGCAGTTAAACGCAAGGTCTCGTGATCTATGGATAGCTGGGTCCCATTGACTCAGATTCTTGATTCAGGCTGTCTACAACATTCTAAGTATATCCAACTTGTTCTGCTTAATGAAGGTGGAGTAACCAGCTTGCCCCATGTGACTGAAGGGAGGCACACTAAAGCTCATCCTCAGCTGCTGTTTGAAAGCTCTCGGCAAGTGGTGCCACTGCTGGTGCCTTAGCGGACTCCATCTATAATCAGATAAACCACTGTAAGCATTTACGCCCAGCAAAGAAGACCATTGCTTTTGTCATAGCTGGCGAGAAGCCAAAACCAGCTGCCAGGACCACCTCTACTGGCCTGCTTGCAATGGCGCACGGACGGGAACTAAAGGTTGATTGGGGAAGCAGCTTACGTTTCCAGGAACTTTGAAACAACATTGAAACCCAACATGATCCAAGCAAGTCTTTAAACTAGAACTCGCTGTCCACTGGGAGGATTGCCTTGAGAAGGCCACAACGAGAGGAAGAGTGCAAAATACACCAATCAGCCATAACATTCTGACCACCTGGATACCCTGTTATGTAGCTCGTTCACACTGCCTACCTGAGCAGCACATTATCAAAAATCTTCACAAAATCTTCCTTTTTATTTCGGCATTAATTTTTTTGAGAGCCGCGCAGTCCCCAGCAAAAATAGATAGCGAAAAACATCTGTTTATAGTCATATGGACATTATACCAGCAGCATATACACCTTTCACTACAGTTTCAATGTCTATATCTGTAGAATATGTCACAGACATAGAAAAGTCTTGATCAAGCCCAGCCTTGGTTGCCTGGGCAAGGGCATCTGTTTGCTGAGAGACCAAAAATACCTGAGGACCCCAAGAACTACTGATGATGTGTCCAGACATTTGTGTCTAATACACTTAACACACAAAATATTTAAACATTTCTAAATTTAGTTTGTAGTGTTTTGTCGCAGGGTGGGCTCTAATTGGGTACCCCGAATGCTGCAACGTAACAAAGAAGAAAAAATGAGATATGGTTTTATTAATTTTGCATGCTAG